GTTTATTTGTTGTTAGTTTTTTTTATGATTTTTTTCACGCATTTAGCGCAGGTTTCAAGGCCAAACCTTTATTTGTGCCATATTTGAAGCATGTGTGTGTGTGTGCACGTATGTGTATGTGTGTGTGCATTTTATGATCGCTTTTATGGGCGGCATGTAATAATAGAAAAATTGCTAAATCAAAAAAAAAAAAAAAAAAAAAAAAAAATTATATACACACATACATACATACATCGATATATTTTGGTACATTTTGAAAACGTAATGCGAATCGATTTTGATAATTTTATTAAATGCCACGCCCCCGCACTGTAGACGCGGCTAGAAGTATCCAAAAGATTTCTATTTGCCAAGCATGTGAAAGTTTCGCACTACAATTAACAGATTGAACGATGCTTCACATACGCACAAGTATGAGCATGAGAGCCGATCGCAATTCGAGTGGATCGATTTGAATCGGTATGATTGATACCTCTGGGGGAAGCACAAGAGGCAGCTGCTGGTAGATGACTAGTAGATACCCTGAATAGTGTGATGTAGATGAAATTGGAATATTTTATTTTGGAAATTTCAATATCAAAAGTCATTGATGAACAATTGAATTGAATTAAACTCAATAATATTATGTTATTTAAAAAACCGTTAATTTTAATAGTGTTATTTCATAAGTGGTTGAAGGAAGTGAAGCTGTTTTGATCTTTTTTTTTAGTTTTTATGCATTATTAAAAATTGAAAAAATATTTTAAAAATAACTGAGTCATTCTTGTATTAGTATAAACATCATACTAACAAGCTGCGCTTACATTTTTTGCATATCCCCAATAGTTTTGATTTTATAGACCAATAAAATTTTGTTAAGGTGCTGGTTGAAATAAGCTGTGAGCCACTGTGTGTATGTATATATGTATAGCTAAGTAAATCGATGAGCACATATTGATAGGACTGTTCAGAGTGATATAAGATTCAGCTAATGGACATTTAAAAGACGATAAATTAAATACTTGATGCTTAAGTACAGATCAGTATTTATAGCACTCAAGCGACGCCCCTTGCCTTTGATCTTGGTTTAGGCTATTCCAGGGTATGATAAACAAGTTTATACAGGGCTGTCCATATGCGACGGACACAGCTGGCAACCCTACAACCCTTTTTAATAGAAGAAGAACACAATTATTATGGTGTCTGTGTTAAAAGATATAGCGTTGCCAGATGGGTGCATCTAATGTGAACAACCCTGTCTAAACAAAAACACAAAATATTAATGCCCTTACAAGAATACCTTCTTAAATCAATTTCGAAAATGCCATTAGATGAATTTGCCTTGCCCTAAAACCAAACACCAAATGCGTTTGATAAAACTTTGCTTCGACAAGATTTTGGCATACATTTTATGAAAATTGAGGGCCTACCTACCCTTTGCCTTTGGATCCAATTGTCTGCTGCAAGTGGAGCTCGATGGCAGAAATGAAATTAGTATTGGCAAACTTTTGACGGCAAAATATGCAACAGTCAATTAGATTAGCACAGAGAGAGAGAGAGAGAGAGAGAGAGAGAGATGTATATATTGTATATATTTCTTTTTTTTTATATGTCGCCCATGGGAAATGTTTATTTTTTGTTTGTTTATTTAGTTTTGCAGCGCCTAGGAACTACAAGTGAAGTCAATAGGCAGTCGAGTGCGCTGTTGCACTTTGGTTTTGCTGCAAATTGGCAATTGCAGCAGAAATGTGGCAATGCGGCGGCAATTTGCCATTCGGGCCTCGAATTTCCATAGCGGCTTATGCAACACATTTTGCCAAATGAATTGTTCGGTAAATCAATTTGCATATTGCGCGACGCATTTTGCGAACACATCATGCCACGCACACTGACACACACACACACACTTACACGCACACACACACACACAGACACACTCAGTGAAATGACCATTTACAAAATATTTTTGTGTTCACACTCAATTAATGCCAATTGACTGCAAAATTGCAAACACCTTTGACACGTTTTCATTTGCCATGTGAAGCAAATGGAAATGTGCAAACAATTCAAATGTATGTATGCATGTGTGTGTGTGTGTGTGTGTGTGTGTGTGTGTGTAGGGTAGTTGATTATATGGGGCAGGCATTTTGGACAAGGCAACAAAGGCAGGCAGGCAGGCAGGCTGGATATGCTTCTATCTATGTTTAGTTAGCTTTGTTGTTGTTGTTGTTGATGTTGTTGGCAACGCTGTAAAATAAATCAATAATAAATTGTCGCATGCAAAATTCATGAGACAATTCACAATACAACAACAACAACTACAACAACAACAGCAAATGTATCAATAACCCAGCGGACAACCGCAGCAAATTATTGACATTTTGAACGCAATTGAACTCTTGCCGCATAAATTAAGTAAGTAAGAAATGTTGGCAAAAACAAAAATGAAAAAAATTAAATAAAAATAAAAAATAAATGAAAGAAGAAGACTTTCAATATACTCGCATTAAATTGAATTAAATGTAGCTGCTTAATTGATAAATAATTATCATTGTTATTACATTAAACGACTTGACCCACACCACGAACTACAACGAGCCACCAAGCACCACCAACTATTTTCATTTTTATTTAAAATATTTTTTATTTTTTTTATTAATATTATTATTTACTTTCATTCTTTTGCAATTTACGCTGACTTTAAAGAATTTTGTTGGGGTGCCAGCAGGTCTAAACTCAGTGATACCCTGTAATTATATATTGTGCGGGGAGATTTTTGATATGATTTGGGCTATAGTTTAAAAGGTAAAGTTGATTTGAAGCATTACGAGAACCTAGAAACTCGAGTTGATAAAACAGAAATGCTTTACGAAACGCAAATTCAACCCAAAAGTTAGACATATGTTAAACAGATATATTGATTAACATACAATAGTTTTGTATAACTGTAAACTAGATAGGGCACACAACTCAATTTATCTGCATTCAATGTAAAAAAATATCCCTATTCTTATACCTAACTCCTTATACCTTCTTATAACTCATGCCTATCTCACTATATTATAATTACATAACTGTATTCAAAGACATAAAATTTATTAACTTTAAAAAACCTTTAGGAGAAATATAAAAAACGATCCATTATTTTGTATATAAATATAAATATATAAAACATTCGTCAATTTCCTAGCATTTTGAGACAGTTGCCCTTTTAGGCGTTTGGGCTGAGTTGCCAGAGCGCTGATAGACAGGCATATGTTTTTGACCAGCTGGCAGCATCGATCCACCACTCGCTGGCTCAGTCATTCTGCATTCATTCACAATATTGCAAATCTAAAAACCTTTCCCTTTCCCTTTATTTATTTATTTAAATGTTCTAAATGCCAATCTGATCATTTCTATTTCAATTCCACTTTGATCTCGCTAAAAATAAATCTGTTACAGATCTGGCAGCACTGCGTGAATTGAATTGGATTCTGCTTACATTATCGCACTTGGACTTGCTCACATATGCAGATGGCATGGGCCTTTCCATATGTATGAATTACATGCATATATGTGATGTAGAGATACTGATTTGCGTAAATATACCCTGTAGAAGAGAGCTCTAATAGGAGATGGTATTCCAGTTGGATAACTATATTGGAATATTTGGAATCCACTTGAAGACACGATAAAGTACTCTTGCTCTCTCTCTCTCTCTCTCTCACTCTCACTCTCTGCATGCCATCGATAACAATCGTAGAGTAGAAGAGGCATAAGAATTGCCCCACTTAACTGTTAGTCGCGCATACCCTCTGCAGAGTTCGAGCCACTCAGGGGCAAGTGCCAGCGGCTGCAGCAGGGGCAAGTGCGTCAACGACGTGGCGACGATCTGTGGTGGCTGTGCGCTTTATTATTATTATTCATTCTGTCACACACATTCTGTATTCCGAGTACTCACTGTACGTCGGGCACATGGTCAGTTATCTGGCCGCGCGGCTATCGCTTCCGGGTGCGCGGCATTCGATTCTCGCAGTGAGACAGTGCGACAGTGCGACAGTGAGACAGTGCGACACTGAGGCAGTGGCAGCTGGAGGCCACCTTGGCCGCATGTCTGGCACTAAGCGGGGGCGACACGGTTAGTGGGACTTTGGGGGTGGCTGGGCGGTCATATTAGGCATGCAGCCCTGGTAAATGCAATTAAATGCAAAGCGCGCAGAGAGCGCTGGTTGGATAACCCCGTTAGCGCTTCGATTTCGACAGCTCAGCGAACTCGCACTCGGGCTCCACTTGAAATTCATTGCGAGTATCCAATATTATTGTGTGTTTTGGTTTTTTTTTTTTTTTTTTTGTACTTTTCGGGTTTCGGTTATATGTTGTTGTAGTTGATTTTATTTTAATTAAAATTATGTCAACGCAATTGAAATGTTATTGAACCAATTTAATAGCGCCGAGAGTTCATTAATTTGGATTTTGTAATTTTTATGCCGATGCACAGCAGCAGCAACTGTTGCTGTTGCTGTTGCTGTTGCTGCTGTCGATTGGCAATATTTATGCATGGCGAGAGCGAACATTTCGGCGCAGTCGCGTAATTTATGGCAGTTGTGATAAAGAAAAGCTCTGCCAGAAAATGCATTTGCAGCAAAATAAAAAAATAAATAAAATTAAATTAAAAAAATAAAATAAAAAAGAAAACAACAAAATAAATTCAATAAAATGAAATGAAATGAAATAAAATAAAACAGAAAAATGCGAGTAAACAATTGTGTTTAATCAACTAAAACAGCAGCGCGAAAAACGAAATCGAAAAACTGAAGCAAAACAAAATATTTATAGTAAAATAAATTTCAATCAGAAGCCAAACTCAACCATTCACAATCATGCAGTACGACTGTCTACCCCCTGTCCCCCGCCGTTCCAACAGCCCCCTTCACACATTTCAATATTTATCAGCGCGAAAGCAACAAATTAACAAAAATCCAAAAAATATTCATCAATATTTATGTGGATTCCGTGTATTCATATATTACACTACTCACCCCAGAAGCAGGCGACATAAATGTCAAATGACAGCGGGAATACCAAATGCAGCACCAACCCTTTTTTGCTCTGTAGTGTGGCTGACAATCCAGGCGCAGGATGTGTGCGTATCTCCTTTCTCTCTCCCCCAATCTCTCAGACGGATGGCTGCAAAAAGGTCAAATGGAAAAACAAGTAGAAGAGTCAGCATATGAAACACGAAATTAATCAACTTTAAATAATTTTTCAGCAATTCGTAATCTAGTCAAAGGTTTTTCGGGCTTGAAAGTTGCTTAAATGGATCACCTTAAAAAGCTTGTGGCTTAAAGAGCTCATTAAAGTAGTGTTAAAGCTTAGCTTAAAGCACTTGAGTTTAGAGACTAGAGGTAGTTTTATAATAAGAATTTTTCTAATTTCATATATTGATGATGAAAGCTTTTTTAAACTTTTATGTGCTTCAGCTTTTGCCTTCTTCGTAATAGAAATTGATCAGAGTAACGTAAGACAAAGCTTCAAAATGCTGAGGGCTCCAGTGGCAGGAGTCGAGCAATGCAAATTGAAAGTTATATTATAAATTTTTCTTAAGTTGTTTTAAAAGCAAAATCTAGAGATCTAGACATTTAAAGTAGTTTTATAGCAAGAATTTTCTTAGTTTCATAAATTGATGGTGGAAGTGCATTATTATTTTATTATTATTAATAAGAATTTTTCTAATTTCAAAAATATGATTAAAGAATATTTTCATTTTTTATGTGCTTCAGTTTTCGCATTCTTCATAATACAAATTGACTAAAGTGACTAAAGACAAACTTATTAAAAACTAATTTAAGAGTACTTTAAAAGTAAAATCTAGAGATCTAAAGATTGGAAATAGTTTTGAAACACGAATTGCCCTGATTTGATGATATACTAATATTAAACATTTTTTCAACTCCTAATCTGCTTTAGATTTTGTCCACATCATACTGAAAGCACTGCTTTAGACACAGCTTTAATGTGCTTTCATGGAAGCTCGCTACGTAATTTCAGAATTTCTATATACGACATTTGGTAAATTAGCAAAATACTTTGTTTAGACGATTTTGAAATTGGGAATGTGTGCTATGTGCTTTCATATCAGAGTTTGATATATATATATACATATAAATTTTTTTTTTTTTTTTGAGTTCTTGTAACACAAAACCAAAGCAAATTTGTAAATGCGCAAATGTTTTGCGTCTATTTGTTGCCGAGAGGAAGTGCGGCTGTGGGTATTGGGCGTATCAGATATATATATACATATATATATGTATATAGACTTATATCTGTATTTATACCCCATTTAAAAGACCTTGAGTATAATTCCAGCCAGAGCTTTTGTGTGTGCTTACATAAAATTTGACAAAACAACCAAATCGGGTGATGATTAAAGCTGTTTATATAGAAATATATAGTAAATAAGTATATATACAATATATATAGAGCTTTATCAGTGGATGAGTTTCTCTGGAATATTGTAGAAGCTGTGCTCAAGTTAAATAGCTTTAAGCTATGGCTCGTTTCCCATTTGCCATTTCCTGGAAAATTTTGACCCATGTGCGGGCTGGCGCATAGAAATATTTTGGCTCTCTTTCTGTTGCCTTCCTTTCGAATTTGCCGTGCAGCGGCATTCGATGTAACAAATCCAGTTATTTGTTGAATTTGACAGTTTAATTCTACGCCTCGATGAGCGTTCGCCCGAATCGATGTCAGCCAAAGTAAAGGAACCAAAAACAAAATAAAAAAAAAAAAAAAAAAAAAAAGACGCCATATGCCCCAGCCAGTGTGGACCCTAAACATGCCACGCCCCCACGCACGCAACGCTTTGTGTCTATTTCAATCGTTATTTTGGCTGCCGTTGCTTTGAAATCAAACAGGTTTCTGCCATTTCAACTTGACATTCAATTTGTCGGCCCGCAGACCAAGCCAGGATCACTCACAGTGCGTTCGTACACTGCGCCAAATTGCAATCAAATTTCTGCTTTTCTGCCATTTCAAGCGAGGGGGGAGTGAAAAAGACACACACACACACATACATACAGAGATGGTAAGTAAGTCAGCAGCAAATAGCCAAGTCCAAAGCATGCCAAGCCATAAAAGTAAAATTTGCATTCGGCTGAGAAATTTCTATGAGTGGACACCAGATTTTCGAGTTACCCATGGGCAAGGGTTGGCGCTGTGGGCCACAGTGGTGAAAACTTGTACCAAAAACAAAAACAGAAGACAACAACAGCAACAACAACAAAATCAGGCAAGCGCTATAAAAACAGCAAAACGCAAATCAAGAAAGATAATAAAAATTGAACAATAAAAGAAGAGAGCCAACAAAAAAACAGAAGCAACAACAACAACAACAACAACAACAGCAACAGTAAAGCAAAGGCAAACAAAAAAAAAGTGAAAAAAAGCAACAACAACAACAACAATAATAATAACAGTAACGGGCGGCGTCAAGTGCCAAAAACACGTTTAAATGTCAAAAATGTAACTCCCCAGACGACGACAACAATAACAACAACTTCGACAACAACAACAACAACAACTATAACAACTGCAACAGCTGCAGTCGCCGCGGCGCCGATAAAGCAACAAAAATCAAATTAGCGCCAAGCAATGTCGCCGCAGTCGACGCCGACGCCGACGCCGACGGCGCAGTTGACGCAAGAGTTGACGGCGCAGCTTCTGCCTGTGAGACGTTTGCAATCATCTCACAGCTTCGTCGGCTTCTTATTAATTTTTTTTGGCATTTCTGCAGATTGTTGCTGTTGCCATTGCTGTTGTTGTTGTTGTTGTTTTCTTCGTTACTTTTTTATTGCTGTTCATAATTTGCGCTTATGCAAAGACAAAAGCAACAAAAAAAAAAAACCTAAATGCAAAAATAAATAAAATACTTTTAAATTAAACGCAAATTTTGGACTTGTTTTCTTCTGGTCATAAAAAATATGACGAAGAAGAAGAGGAGGGGCGAAAAAAAAAAAAACAAAACTGCGACAGCAGAAATAAATGATTATAATATCATTATTGTCAAGTGCGTTAAAATTTATGAGCAATGAAAACTTTTCTCTGCTGCCGCCGCTCCAGAAGGGTTATCCGGGCAAACAGCGCCGAAGTCGGGCTTGCAGTTCATAAAACAAGTCCATATCAAGCCGCAGAAGTTACGCCACTTCATAATTCCGAGGGGAGTACTTTCTTGTTTTTCTCGCTAGCCTCAAAATTCCGAAGGCGAAGTGTAGAAGCTGTGTTAGAGGACATTTGCAACACGGAAAGGGAATAGTCAGATGCATCATTATTCGCTCTCCCTCTCTCACTCTTCGTGGAACACCCTCGCCCCATTGTGTCTCTTTTTTTCTCCATCTGTTTTTGTCGCTGTCTTAATCTGGCTCTGTAACTGCTTTAGCATGTTTTCTCTCTTTCTCTTTCTCTCTCTCTCTCTCTCTCTCGTTGTGGAACACCGTCTTTTCTCTAATTCTCACGTCTTCTTTGGGTCATTCTCAATTCGTCTATATAACTACTGCAGCTATTGCTCTCTCATTCTCATTCTCTCACTCTCTGTCTCTCTCTGTCTTTCTATAGCTTTCTTGTTCTGAAGTCCCAATTATCTAATGCTCTCCTTCCTCTTTATCCTATATATCTCTCTATCACTCTGGCAGTTTCTCGAGCCATCTCTGTTTGTCTCTCTCTCTCACTGTCTCTCTCTCTCTCATTGTGGAACACCGTATTTTCTCTAATTCATTCTTCATCTTTGGTCATTCTCGATTCTGTACTGCTCTCCTTCCTCTTTATCCTATATATCTCTCTATCACTCTGGCATGTTTTCGCGCCTTCTCTATTTCTCTCTCTCTCTCTCTGTTTCTCTCTCTCTCTGTTTCTCTCTCTCTCTGTTTCTCTCTCTCTCTGTTTCTCTCTCTCTCTCTCTCTCTCTCTCTCTCTGTTTCTCTCTCTCTCTGTTTCTCTCTCTCTCTGTTTCTCTCTCTCTCTGTTTCTCTCTCTCTCTCTCTCTCTTCACCACTCATTATATCAAAGTCTCTATTTCAATCATTTTACCTTTCTGCTTGCAGTTGAGCTCTCAGAGTTAATCCAAATTAATATTCAAGCCAAATATCGTTCGCTTTGATCTTTCTTCCAATTCCAATTCCTTCCCTCATGTCTCATACAATCAATCAAAAAGCTTGCACTTATGCCTCATTAGAGCTAGTTAAGAGATCGCTTACATCTCATATAGCTTATCACCCTTGAAATTACGTACAACAATCGATGAGTTTATTCGATAACTAAATCTTGAGTGCTCCAACACATATTGCGCAGAATCCAAGAAATAATGAAACGAATTTCAATGCAATCATAATTGCCAACTGAAATATGAATGTCGTCTGCGAGTGGTTTGAGTGGTGCGAGTCATTTGTAAGCTATTCATGAAACCAGCTGACAGAGCTGACAGAGCTGGCGCAGCTACCGCTGCCACTACCGCTGCCACTACCTCTGCCACTACCGCTGCTGCAGCAGAAACTTGAATGCCTGAGGCTTGAACTCTGCGTCTGTCGATTGCAACAGATCCGAAAGTGATTGCATGGCCAAGACATGATTAAAGCTTAATTAATTGCAACTGACAATGACAAGGAGAAGTCCGCTTAGCTCCCTCCCTCTCTCCCTGCCACCGCTCTGCTCTACGACCCCACCACAGCTTGAGTTCAACTCAGGGACAGTCAAAAGCCGCACAGTTGTCCGGGGGTGCTTCAAGCGGGTCAAAGAGCCCAACCGTCGATTTCTGTAACCATTAACCATTATCAGCAGAAATATGCCGTTATAGTATATTCAAAAATATAGCTTGAAATGTGGCTTTAAATAGCCACCTCTTTATCTGTATATAATTGACGATATGTAGACCTAAACTGAGCTAGAACTATGAAAAAGGAAAAAAAAAACAGCTTTAATATAGCTAAATCTATAAAGCAACTGCATAAACGTAGCTAGATTTATATACATATTTAAACAGCTATAGCCAAAACTTTATAGCCGAAATCCATTCAATAAAACTTCAGCTAGTTAAATCAGCTGCGAAATAGCTTAACAGCTAAAACCAAACCTACATAGCCAAAATCGATTTAATATCTAGCTATAGCTAGTATAGCTCAGTTGCTAAATAGTTATAC